ATAATTTATTTTTGGTTTAATAATATAACATTTTACAAAGATAATAATTAAGTATTATGTTAGTTATCAATGATTATTCTAATTATATTTTAGATTTTTTATATTTAAAATGTGATGTTTATTCTGTATTTGATTGTGTTTATCTGCAGTTAGTTACACGAATTCAGATAGGGATGAAATCGTTTAGGGATGAACGGGTTTAAGAGTTTTAGTCAAATGCTTTATAAGATAGTATAGATTTAAAATTTTACATATAAACTTTATAAAACTAATTAATAAACAAGTTTATATACAAAATAACAACAAAATTTTATTGTTAGTTATTGTTGAAGTAAAATTTCAAGTGCTTTTCTGTAAGATAAGATTGTTTATTGAAACGTTTACTTGGTAAAAGCTTACCAGTAAAAATCAAAACTCTAATTTATTCTACCGAGTAAAACTATAGTCCATCAAAACGACATCGCATACAACAATTTACTCGACGGGCATTTACGGGATAAAAGTCTTCACTCTCACTTACCTGATAAGATTTTTTTATCTTAATCGCTCTTATCATGTTCATCTGGTAAAATAAATGACTTAATAAACACTTACCAAGTAAGCATTTGGTAAACGACATTATAAGAGTTATCATAATTGACTTGAGGATCAAATTACAATACAGTTAAATTTAAAAAACATTATTTATAAATGCAAATACTAAAAATATTATTATTTTGTAAGAAATATTACTATTTTGTACAAAATATAAAAGTATATGATATAAAATGGACGATAAATACATTTTGTGATTATTTGAAATAAATAAAATTAATCCAAGATACGTTACTTGAAGCTTAATAAATATGAATTTGGTTTACAATTTATTATTAACATCATTTTATTATTAAATTAAATGTTACATTATTTTTAAAAGAAAAAGGGTTTAAAATGTAAATTAATTCACAATCAAGCAATCCTTTTTTATGAAAGTGGAGATATGAGGGAGACTCCACCATCATCATCAAGATACGACTTTTTAGCGGGAAAGTGAATCACACGCGCCACCGTTGCAAGCGGTGGTCTGATCTTGATTCCACCTTTGAGTTAAGCCAAACCTATCCCCTTCCATTGTCAACGCTCTTTTTAGTATTTTTTTGAAAAAAGGTCAACTTTCTCTTCAACAAACAGCAGTGAATGATAATGGCGTTAGAAAGAAAAACAGAGAATTTAATTTTATTAAAGAAGTAAATGCCCACAAAACCTAATTGTTTATCATTTTCAAAATCTCCGCCCTCAAAAGTCAACTCTCTCTCTCTTCCATCCCCTTCATCTTCTTCATTTTTGCCATTGTTTTCTTGCAACCTGAAAGAATCTGTTCTTCCCAAATCTCAGAACCTTTCAAGAAGATCAATTCAATTGGATCAAAGGATTTGATGAATTAGTTGTTTGAAAAAGTTTGAATCAGGAAAAGGGTCATAATTTTCTTGGAAATTTAGCTATGGGAAATGGGGTTGGGAAGCTGACGATATGTTTCACCGGAACCGACGTAGTTCACCGGAGAAAAGACATGTCGGTTGTCGTCTCCGACCAGCCATTGGATGATTTGGGTCATTCTTTCTGCTATGTTAGACCTGACCAATCTTGCAACAATTCCTCCAAAGTTCACTCCGCCGAAGAAGCGACGACGTTCCGATCAATTTCCGGCGCCGCAGTCTCCGCCAACACCTCCACCCCTCTCTCCACTTCTCTAATCGATCTCTATTCATGCAACACCATTGATAAAGCTTCAGCTTTCGAGAGCTCTACTTCGTTTGCATCAGTTCCTCTTCAACCTTTGCCTCGAAGCTCGATTAATTCGGGCCCTTTACCGTCGGGTCTGGTTCCATATTCGGGTCCTATCGAAAGAGGCTTTCTTTCTGGCCCGATTGAACGTGGGTTTCAATCGAGCCCGCTTTTCTCTGGCCCTTTCGAAAAGGGTTCTCATGATCAGTTTCAAAGAAGCTATTCTCAAGGTGGGTTCGCTTATAAACGAAGATCAAGTAAAGGGTCTCTGATTCGGGTTATACGAAGGGCGATTTCAAGAACATTTGTTACCCGTGGCCAAAACGCCATTGTTGCCCCCATTATCAAAAGTGTTGATTCTTTGAAACAACACGATTGGATTGGTGGGTCTTCTGAGAAAAACAACGAATTGACGATCAGCAGTGCAAATTTGAGCAGCGAAAGTAGTTTTCTGGATGATGATGAGAGTTTTAATCAGAGCCAGAATCTTCAATGGGCTCAAGGGAAAGCCGGAGAAGATCGAGTTCATGTCGTCGTGTCGGAGGAACATGGTTGGGTTTTCGTCGGAATTTATGACGGATTTAATGGTCCAGATGCACCTGATTTTCTTTTGTCGAATTTGTATCCAGCAGTTCATAAAGAACTCAAAGGTTTGTTATGGGATGATAAACTCGATTCATCAAATTCGACCTCTTCGGTGCAATCTATAGATGCCATCGAGTCTCATCTTGACGATCAACCGCAAAGAAATGTGTTTCCAAAGTCTGTTGATCAGCCTGAAAGTTACCCGAGTGCTACTGAGGATTTCCAGATGAGTTCACGGAAACGGAAGAGCAAGAACTCGAAGGTTAGACATCGAGGGTCAGGGAACAAGTGGGAGGAGAATCAGAGATGGTGGAAGTGCGAATTCGATCGCGAAAGATTAGAGTTGGATCGAAGATTAAAAGAATACTCGAATTCAAACGGTTCTGATTCAACTAATCATTCTGATGTTCTAAAAGCTCTCTCTCGGGGGTTGAGGAAAACAGAAGAATCTTATTTAGATATTGCAGATCAGATGCTCGACGAAAATCCTGAACTAGCTTTAATGGGTTCTTGTGTTCTTGTTATGTTAATGAAAGGAGAAGATGTTTATGTAATGAATGTAGGAGATAGCCGTGCGGTTTTGGCTCAACAACCGGAGCCCGATCTCTGGCGGCAAGATCTTGAGCGGATTAACGAAGAAACTTTATACGATCTCGAGGTTTTTGATGCTGAAAATGGCAGTACGAACCCGAGTTTAATGGCTTGTCAGCTTAGCATGGATCATAGTACTTCCATTGAAGAGGTACAAAAGAAACAGTAAAACTTAAACTTTTTGTTCTTATAACCTTCAAATTTCGTGTTCTTAATGTTCTTTATTGTGCAGGAGGTTCAAAGAATAAAGAACGAACACCCAGATGATGCATTGACAATGATGAACGATCGTGTTAAAGGCTCGTTAAAGGTCACCCGAGCTTTTGGTGCTGGTTTTCTTAAGCAGGTAATGTACCAATTGGTCGTCGATTTGATCAAATATAAAATAAACGTAGATTGTTCGAATTCTTCTTGGTACTCTATTGAAGTAGATTCTCGTAAATGGTGTCAAAACGTATGTCCGAGAAAGATGATGGTATTTACCAACAATCTTTGCTATGCCATTATGCTCACCGAGAATCTTATGCTGAAATGAGGGTGGTGACTCTTATCTGGTTAAGAGATGGCTTATACGATGCTATTTTCATTATGAATAATCTTACCTCATAAGATGAGGGTACTGACTCTTACCCGGTAAACGTTTGTCCAATAAGTGTGGGTAAATAACCCTTACGTAATAAAATGGGGAGATCAAGAGATTGGATATTCACTTGTGAAAGACTCTTGTATAGCCTTTTTTTTATTAACATGGATATACAACCCGCTATGCGAGCCGACTAATCCCAGGGTGACCACATGCTTTGCACATAGCCTGGAGTCACCGCATTTGAACCTCCATGGCCACAAGGGGATTTTTGTTTCTCCTTGGATTTGAACCTGAGACCTCCTGACACTTTTGACCTTTGGAGCCAAACTCAAACCAATCAGACACCACCCTGTGGTTAAAGTTGTTTATATGTCTTAATAAACTGTGTTTTATAGGACCTACAGTTGTTCGTTAAATATAAAGATGTTATAATGTTTTAATCGTAGATATTCGAAACTGAAAATCTTATTAAAAATTTGCTTTTTTGCAGCCGAAATGGAACAACGCGCTACTCGAGATGTTCAGGATCGACTATGTCGGAACTTCTCCGTACATAAATTGCGTCCCGTATCTTCACCATCACAAATTAGGCCCGAGAGACCGATTCTTGATACTATCCTCAGACGGGCTATATCAGTATTTCACTAATAAAGAGGCCGTTTCTGAAGTCGAACTCTTCATTCAATGGTCACCTGAAGGAGACCCTGCTCAGCATCTCGTAGAGGAGGTTCTGTTTCGGGCAGCCAAAAAAGCCGGTAAGAGTTGGAACCGTTAAAAAACGTCTATGAACGTTAAATCAAATAACCGTGTAGTAATACGAGGTCTTTTGTTATTTTGTAGGTATGGATTTTCACCAATTGCTAGAAATACCGCAAGGGGATCGCAGGCGTTACCATGATGATGTTTCAATTATTGTTATTTCACTCGAAGGAAGGATTTGGAGATCGTGTGTGTAAGTAAACGATACGCCAAAAAACAACGGGATTTACGTATAGATAGAGGAAATTTTCAAACGGGTGCTCAAATTTTTGATCGTTTATCTGTTATTTAATAGAAAACTTCAATTGTAATTCTGTAAAAACATTTCCCATGTTGATTAATACAAATATTCGATGCTAAATTTATATACAACAAAATTCACATACTAACTCCAGAAAATTTCATTTTGACCAAACGTCAAAGATTTGAAATATGAATTTGCTTTTTAACCGGAAGTCAAACTCTATGATCTCAAACAGCACATTTTACAGATAGATAGGTTTGAAAAAGGTTCATCTAACATAAAACTCGTTAGGTTTTCAGCTATAACCGATGAACGTATGTTTCCAGTCTTTTTTAGTATTACCGGTTTGACTAAATATGACGCCATAAAACGTGGCACGTGGATTCATGGAACTCCGGGCATTCGTTGAAATTTGTTGTGGGGTTGGATGATGATCATACGTCGTTTTTTCTTATCGCCGTCTCGTCTCGAGCGTCTAACCGATTTATGGGATTTTAAGGAGGGGAAATAAATGCAAAGTGCAGGTGAGAGAGTTATTGTTTCGAACCAACATTTTTCAGGTACACTTCCAACCACACCCTCTTATCCTCTTCAACAGGGAACTAAAATTTTTATAACAGGTTTTTAATAATTTATTTAACAGTATTTCTATAAGAATAATACTGCTTATTTTTTTTAAATAAGTGTCTACATTTCTATTTAGTTTGTTCATAACAGACATACATTTTTTTATTTTGGATAATAATTATTAAATGTAAAATTGATATTTAATTCAATAAAAAAAGGAGAGTTATCTTTTTAAGGAATGAATAATGTTTTGGTCAAATTAAGGTTGTAAAATAAACAAGGCATGTGGGGGGTGGAAAAAGGTCCAAAAAGGTGTCCGGTTAAATATGGTGTCGGTTTTATAAATTTTAAAAACTTTGGTTGCCTTTTTATTAAATGTAAAAGTTGAAGTCGTTGGCTTTTTGGTCAAATTTGGGCCTCTTTCTCTTTCAATTTTATGAGGAAATGGTCCCCCAATAAAATTTTATGTAATTAATGATATATAAGTTTGATGTAATAAACCAACGGTTTGTACTCGTGCATTATAGTGAAATGTAGAGTTTAATTGTAAACAGAAAATGAAAGTTTAATGTAATTTTTTATTTAAATAAAAATATATATAGAGTATTTATACTATATTATAAAGCATTTGATTAAAACTGTTAAAAATAATTTTTTATACATAAAGTACTGTTTATTGATACATATTACTTAAAATTCAAGATTACAAGTAGAATGTGCATGCGTATATCTTATTAAAGCTTCATGTTTGAATTCATGTAATTTACTGTAGATAAACATAATCAAATATATGATTAAACATCATTTTAAATATAAAAAAATCTAAAATATAATTAAGATAATCATTGAGTTCTAACAGACTACTTAATTATATTCTTAAAAAAGTTATTTTTAAATCAAAAATAAGTTAGTCCGTTTTAAACTTCAATTAAATTATAATAAAAAAATTGAATTAAAGAAATTACACAAAAACGAGAACTTTTAAATAGTTAATTTAATACTAATATTGCTTATTATTTTCAAATTTTATTATATCTTTAGATTTATATTTCATTCAAAAACAAAAACATTTTCGTTTTCTCAAAACCACATAAATTCGCATTATAATATCAATAGAACCAAAATATGAAAGGAAACATTAAAATCAAGATGTATCTCGCTGCATTGTACGAATAATATTCTAGTCTTATTGTAATAGTAGAGCTTAATCATTATCATAGATTTGAGAACGTATTATTAATTGGTTATCAATCTCAAAAACGTAGAGTTTTAATAAATTGTATTAAATTATTAATTTGAAAGTTAATTTTTTATTAAAAGAATATGGGGTTAAATATGTAATATTATAGTAAATGTAATTTAATGAGATCACAAGGGTTTGTATTTTTAGGCACGTGTGATTATTAATTAGGGGTGTTAATAATTCGAGTAGTTAGCAAACTATTCAAGCTCGAGAATGTTTGGATTCAAAACGAGCTTTGTAATTATCAAGCTTGAACTCAAAATGGTATTGGATTAATTTCATGAGCTGAGCATCCCAAGACTACGAGTGCCCAAAAACCCGACCAACCCAACCCAACCCGACGCAAAATAACCCAACACGAAGCAATCCGATGTCTAATCGAGTTGAAAAATTATCAAACCGTAGGTATTGGGTTGATATTGGGTTACTATTATTTGAACCCAACTCAACCCGATGAACCCGATATCCTTTTATTTCCTGGATTTTATATGATTGTTGAATTTCTATTAAGATATACATTAGACAATTACACTATCATGTATGCTTTTCATATACACATATCTTCAATCTATTCATATCTCTATATAACTCATTCATATATATGTTCAGTAACTATGAACATATATATATATAAATTGAGAAAATTAACTGAATGTGATAAACGTAAAGAAATATGGATAAGTTGTATCAAATGGTTGATGATGAAAAATAAATTATGAGTAGAGAAATAACATATTCAAGGTTAGAAAAATATTTTAATATATCAAAGTATCAACCCGACCAACCCGTAGGGTTGAGTTGGGTTAAGATTTTTCCAAACCGCAAGCATTGGGTTGGGTTGTTCAAAGGTTTTAAACCCGATCAATCCAACCCATGAACACCCCTACCCAAGACTGATATTCAACTAGAACAGTTCAGATATTCGTTTAGCATTTTGTTATGAGTTGAACAAGCTTATCAAAGCTTGTATATGTAGTGGCATATATGTTGATGATACTGTATTTAGATTAACAAACCAAAGATATTATGTAGGTTGGTTAAATACTTTTCATAACATTGAGTCGTTTTAACTTGCGTGCGGATTACAGATAACAAACTAATAAACAAATATCAGATAAGTTGTTACACTTGTTTTGTTGGGTTGTAAGCCCATTATGAATGGGTTAATTTGAGACCTTTGGTTATTAAATATTGGGCCCGAGGCCCATTTAATTGATACATCGTTTCTTTTGGTGATTTATTGTATTTATATATGTGAAAAAATGACTACATATAAAAATAACTCATCTATACATAAATTACCAGCGTAGCGCTTATTGGGTAAATTTTTGCTTACAATGTCGTTTTAATAGACTAAAATCTTAACTGGTAAGGTAAATGATAATGTTGAATTTAACTGGTAAACTCTTTGCAAATATGTGTTTGGGTAAATGGCCCCTTAGAGTGGAGCCATAGGGTTAACGAAGCAGCGAACCCAACTCTTTTAGTTGTTGTAGACCTGAATATTATAGAAGTAGTGATTGATATTTGAATAAAATTGAAATAGAAATGATTAAAAAATCAATTTAAATATGTGAAATGGTCATTTAAACCAATTTCCAGAATTAAAACAAACATACCCTAGAAGTATTAAAAATTTATAAAGCTAGGGTACCAATGCTATGCACCTTTGATTTATGTATTTTAGAAATTATGAATATTGAATGCATATTTATAAAAAGAACCACAAGTTTTATTATTAATCTTAACAATTTAAAATAATAATGAAATTCTACAGCCTCTGATATGTACTTCAATTGACAAAATGATTGGACGACTTTACGGTTTTGCCTGGGTTTAATTCCCGCTAACCTCAGCTACTAAGGGGTCGTTTACCTAAAAAACTTATCCGGTAAGCATTCACCGGTAAAATTTAACACTATCGCTTACTTACCTGGTAAAATTTTATTCACTAAAACGCATCGTATGCAACAATTTATCCCGGTAAGTGCTAACCATGGTAAGAGTCATTGTTCTCACTTACCGGGTAAGACTCTCGATTCTTGCATTTGCTCTTACTGGGTAAGATTATTAGCCCTTGTTATATTCACCTGGTAAAGTAAAATGACTTGGTAAACGCTTACTTGAGTAAGCGTTTGGTAAACGACACATAAGTGAATTAAAAAATACCCTCTTGCATTGGTATCCTTATAAACATATTCCGTGTGGGATTGGTTAGGTTTACCAATAACCAACTTTTGCCAAAATAATAAAATTATATACGTGGGTATAAAACTTTGATAAATATTTAATTCTATTACATTTGTTCTATAATTAAAAATATAAAAATAAATAAAGAACAGTTTTCTGTTACTTTATAATTGACTGATATTTAGGCTCAGGTATTTTATTAGGTTCGAGATTTTCGGGCTTGAATTGGCCCTGGACTTAGGTGGCATTTGTTTTTATGAGGTGATGAAGTCTAAAGTTTTATTTCATTTCTGATTTATAAGAGGTTGTGCTGAAGTGTGAAATTTGAATCAATAAGATTGTTTGTTTTTGTAAATTAATAAATGTTTGAATTTGTTTAAATTGTCTATTTAACCTATTAAAAAATTATAATGTTGAATTTATAAATAAATTTATACAATTTCACATATTTATTCATCATTTTTATGAAATTTACATCTAAATTATATAATTAGCATTTATTTAAATGAAAATATGTCATTCAGGGTATTTAACACTTAATCCTATTAAAATACATCAATTGAGAGAGTTCATGATTGATTTGGTAAGGATCAATCGAGAGAAATGACTGATTAAGGTTAATCGATTGGGAAAACGTTACTGTTGATGGTTTGAAGAACAATAAGAGGTTGGATTACTTCTTATCAGATAAAAGAACAATAAGACATAGGTACTGTAGAAAAATTAAAAAAATAAACAGTCTAAATAACCATACCTCTTAACAAATTAGACATAAATAACTAATAATAGTTTTTACACAAACCAATTCCTTATGTTTTTATATACAAATGTAATTTTGGTACCCCACATCGCCATTATGACCCATATTTCCCCCCTTTCTCATACCATCTCCAATAAATGTACTATTTCTTGTACTATGCCTGATTTTAACACAAACTCCTTTTTAGTGACTGCAATTTTTTTACATTATTTTAAAGGGTGTTTGAGATTGTTTATAAAAACAATTTATTAACTTATTTCGGTATCATACCGGTAATAAGTACTTTTGAGTGTTTTGATAAACAGTTTATACCGGTGTCAAACTGGTAATAAGAAGTATTTGAATAAGTTAAATCATTCTAACTTATAATAAGTTGATAAAAACTTTTGTAGAAAAACATAAGTTGTTTCAAATAAACAATCCTAGACACACTTTTAGTGTTATAAATAGAAAAAAACATGCGTTTATGACCAAAATTACCCAATAAAAATAACTAATTACATTTTTAATCCTAAAATTTTCAACTTTTAACCACATATTACTCATTCGGCACCAAGGGGTGCATTAAGGGACCCTTTTGCAAAAAAATATATTCTAATTTGATGTGAGCTGACTCTAACCGATATGACTATTATCTTTGACCACCCTTACTGATTTAGCACCAAGGGGTGTGTAAGGGCCCCACCACAAACCAATTTTTTATTTTTTTTTTCAGTTTTTTGCTCATTCCTAATATAACACTATTCAATTTTGTCTTTTTTTTTTCAATCCTACTATATAAACAATTCAAATTTTCTATTACAAACACAAAACCAACACTTTAATTTTCACTACTTTAATTCAATCTCCATTACCGAAATTTAATCGTCTACATAATGGTAAGTTTACTTATATTAGTTTTAACTTTTAATATAATCTCATTTTTACAACAAAATAAAGAGGGTACAAAAACAACATATAAAAAATTGTTGTAAACCATTTATGAACTATATCATTTTTTTAAAAGTTTTAATTTTTAATATCTACAACACAATAACAAATATACCATTTTTAATATGCATTTAATTTTTATTAAATGCATATCTTTTTGATAATTTAGTTTGTAACCCATTTATGAGCTATAATTTGGGTAAGTATGATAATAAAGCTATTGTGAAAATATATGGAGGTAATAAAAATAAAGGTATCATTTAAAAATACACATAATCAAAATAAAAAAAAAGAGTAAATTACATTTTTAGTCCTTATAATTTAAAATTTGTGATTTTGGTTTCTATGGTATATAATTACTACTCTTAGAGTAAAAGAGACCAAAACAGTACAAAATTGTAAACCAAAGGGACCGAAACAACAATAAATTGTAAATCATAATAATGAAAAATAACAATAAATTATAAACCATATGGACGAAAACCACAATTTCTAAATCATACGGATGAAATTCATAATTTTTAACAAACTACAAAATGAAAAATGCAATTACTCTAAAAATATATTTGAAATATTATTTTTTAATATAAAAAATAATAACAAAAACTATGCTAAATTTGAGAAAGAAAAAAGAAATAAAGAAACCTTCATATTTAAAAATAAAATAAAAAGTATAACATAATCATCGTAAATACTAAAAAAAAAACCCGTTGCTCGATTGTTTTTGTTGTTACAACCACCAAGAATTTTCCTTCAAAACTACAAGGGGTGGTGTCTATTGGCTCCAAATTTCAAAAGTATCAGGAGGTCTTAGGTTCAAATTCAAGAAGAAATAAAAATCCCCTTGTGGCTATAAAACGGTGATGTTATAACATCTATAACAGGTTTTTTAAAAAGAAAGATTTTCAGGATTTTTATTTTAACAGATTTTTGTAAAATAGAAAAAAATATTACAGATGATAAAATTCTCTAAATTTAGATAACTTTCCAAAATATTTTTTTATTAAAATAAAATATGCATTTGTCCTACCCGTAAAAATAACCATATGATGGAGTAAAAAACAAATTAACCAACAAACCATCCAAAAGACAATTTCTTATTACTTCACGTGCTAAATTAAATAAAAATCTATTCTATTAATAATTGAAAATAGGACCAATGAATCGGACTTGACCCGAGTTAGGCCAGACCATTGATCCTTATAATTGGTTCGTAACTTGTCAGACTTTGGTTGAGTTTTTCCTTGTACCACATTGACAACGACATTGACCCGATCGAATTTTCTTGAACTAAGATGTTGACTAGACCGTACTTAATTGAATCGGTTTGTATCATCTGCAGTAGGCTGAACAATGGGATTGAGGAAAACTCCATGTCTCCATCTCCATGTGGAAGATTGAAGGTTTCTTTTGTGTACATTTCATATCAGATTTACAGAAAACATGTTCTTGTTTGTAGATCATTGAATTTTAAATTATCTGCCAACTCTTGCAGTCTTGTAAAAATTAGGGATTTTCACGGAAAATATCGTTATGTTATTTGAGTTAGAGGTCAACCGTCAAGTCTACCTACATCTTAGTCTCTAGGCTTCACTTTCGAGCGAGATTTACTTGAATTCGGTATGATTTTAGTTTTGCAGTTAGCCTAACAGGGTGATTTGAACGGTAGGTGGCTCCAAAAGAATGCATCATACCTTTTTTTGCATGTTTAGGTATATGTTTACTAAACAAATACCAGTCCTTGTTAGGTAAGTGGTGTTGATCTGACATGAATAATATTGTTTATCCACACCCACTGACCCACAATGTCGCTGACCCATAAAAAATCTCATTTATTCAAATACTTAGGCCTTGTTTGTATTCTTATTTTCAACTCTTAATTACCACTTATATCCGGTTTGTTCAGACATTTTGTAATTCAGACTATTTGTTTTTATTATTATTTTCAGAGTCTCTTCTCACTTAATAGGGTCTAAATAAATAAGAAATAAACTAATATTTTAATTCTTCTTATTTCTTTTTTTTATTTGTTTCTCTTTAACTATTGCTTCTTTCTCTAACAAGGACATCACCGTCTTTTTATCACCCATGTGAAATGGAAGCCCCCACCTTCTCTCTCTCCCTTTCTCTCTCTCTCTCTCTCTCTCTCTCTCTTGTATATATATATATATGTATATATATGTATATATATGTGTGCGTATATATATAATTTATGTATGCATAGATTAACTTAGAAGATTAACATGAAATAAGAACTTCTATTGGTGATTCATCATCTATCAAAAGTATCGATCTTTCCACAAACAAACTTCTCCACGTCAATCCCGATAGCATCAGAAGTGTGAAAGGTATCCAAAAGGTTCTCATTGTGTTCCATCTGTTAAGCAATTGTTGAGATGAATTCCGGCAATGAGAATTTTACGAAAATCAAGAGAATTTTGCAAAAATTGTGCACCTGGTCTTACAAAAAAAACTATTGGTTTAGACTTCAGCGGTTTGTTAGTTTACAAAAACAAACAGTTATATTAATTCAGATTTCGAACTTCAGCACCACCTCTTATGAATCAGAAGTGAAATAAGACTTCAGACTTCAACACCTCTTAAAAAACAAACGCCACCTTACACTTGTGTTACTAAGGGGACGTTTACCAAACGCTTACCGAGTAAGCCTTACCAACAAGAATCACCACCATCACTTACCTTATCGAGTAACATTATCCAACATCAAAATGGATTGTTGTTAGGAGTCTTCTCCCTCACTTACTCGGTAAAATTCTCAGTTCCTGTTATACCTTTTACTGGTCCTTGTTCACTTAATAACCTGGTAAGAACATCTAATAAACACTTATCCGATAATCGTTTACCAAACGCGAACTAAATGACCATCCTATCCTTGTCAGTTTGAGGACCTTACCCAAAGGTATGGCAAAGAAGAAGATATAATAATGATAAGACAATGCCTCCATTTTGGCCCCATCATGCTTCAGAAAAACCATTTATTTCTGTGTAGTAGTAGTAGTAGTATTATAACACATGAAGTGACACTTTGTCTTTTTCACTCAACCATGTTCAATCAATCTTCATTACAACACACTTAAAATAGCATCAATATCTTTGTGTTTCTTCCTCCTTTCAACTTCACTTATTTCATCACACAGTAGAGGCCATTTACAGCCCTGCAACACTCACAGATTGCAGCAAGACACCATCATCAAACACTTTGGTCCTTTTGCCTCTTTCTAAGTGCCTCTTTTACCTTTATTCATTATGAATATAAAGTGAAACTTAAAGTCAGATGATGATGTGTTTCTTCTTACTTTCAACTTCACAGATTTCACCACACATACACACACACACATAGCAGAGGCCATTTCAGCGCTGCAACACTTATAAATTGTAGCAAACACCATTGTCAAATACTTTGGCCCTTTTTGTCTCCTCCTGAGTGCCTGTTTTACCTTTATTCATTATGAATCTAAAGTTAAACTTGATGAATAGATAATGTGGATGCGTGCATCCCCTTTTTCCTTCTTTGGAAACCACGTTAGATGGATTAAGTTATCTGTATATGTTTTCCAAATCATGAAATTTACGGTGCGTAAAGTATGCACTGCTATGGGGTTTGTATATAATTGGTATGCAGATATGATGGTACCAAAAAAATTATTAAAATCAACCAACAGACATGAGCACATGAGCAACAGTGTACTAAATTTTCAATCATTTTCTTGAAAGTAGAATAAAGAAAGAAAGAAAGGCCAAGATTTACATTATACAATGCTGCACTCCATACTCAATCAAGCAAGAAAACTACAACTAGGTGGGGTACAATTTACCACACACCATTTTCTGCTTTTGAGGTGGCTTGAAAATCTGACCAACCCTTTTCCCAAAAGTAGTGTACAACTCTTGATGCATGGGGTACAAGTCAGACTAAAGAGGCATATGCTGGTTCTTGAACATGAAGTGATTACAAAAAGATTAAAAAAAAAACAATACTTGGCATCCCAAATCTGCAAAAAATCACATTTTGCTTTGCTTATTCCTTCTGGGATCTTCATAAAGAGCAGAAAGAATACCTCTTTCCATAAATACCCAACTGGGCCCGGACTTTCTTCAGCCAGTTGTTGCTTGCCACATGTTGAAATTCAAGATTTTTGGTATTTTTATGGTTTATCGATGCATTCGTTGTCAGCAGAGACCCTCCCAGAGCCACGGCCGACCATTTTGCCAAATGAGGGTACAGCCGATAGACTCTTGAAACTGCTGCTTCCTTCGCTGAAATTTCGCGGCTTTCTCGACTTTGGCAGCTTAGGAGAGGAATAGAGGTCGAGATCTTGATCAGTGGAGTTGACTTTGACTTTTGCGACTACCAATTGGGCGATGTTGCTCCGGCAAAAGGGGCAGACGGGTGCGGTAAGGGATGTGGTTGTTGGGTTGGGTTTGTTGTGGCAGCACAAGGCTAGTGTGCATTGAGCACACATTTGGTGGCCACAATCTTGAACCTCAATGGTGCATATTTGGTCAAAGCATATACAACATAACTCCGTTTCACTTGCCTGCAAATTGTGAGAATATGTGGAACACTATTAGATTGCTCTCTGAAAAGAACCCTACCCTTGAGAAGAGAAAGAAAGTTCTAAAATATATCGAGAAAAAATAGTCCAAGTCTAGTCGATACACGAGACTCTTAACACGCCCCACCAACGAGTCTAGACTGGCATAGATTGTCCCAGAGTGTTTAGTGGTAGACCTTGACTCTAATACCATGTGAGAATATGTGGAACCCCATTAGATTACCTTTCAAAAGAACCTTTGAGGTGAGAAGGGATGCTCTAAACATATATTGAGCAGAAATGGTCCAAGTCTAGTCCATTCGGGACTCTCACATAAATCATTGATCTTTCATTGTTTAAGCAAAAAAACCCAAGATCAAATTTGATAATGTTCCCAAGAAACACCATAAATCACGCACCTTTTTCAATCAAGAATTCCAAAAATGATTCAAGTCAACAAAGAAATCTGAGGCTAAAGTCAAAAGTAGTCATCTATGACCATTTCAACACCAACCTTTCTATTTCTATTTTTGTTTTGTCTTTTGTATTTATTTCATAGTCCCATGCTCTTGACTTTCTAAATGCAGGAAGAAGAATAGTAAATTGAATTAAATTAAATTAAATTACCTCAGAGATATCATCTTCTATAGCTCCAGAATTGGAATGTGACGGAGATGGTATCGAGTAACTTGTACCCTTTAAGATCGTTTTCTCCCTTTCCCTGTTAGCTTCCATTAAAGCCTGCTCTAATAAAGCTTTGGCATCTTGATTAAGCTCACTAATGAACTTTAAGGGTGATGGCCAGACCAAAGGCTCTGCAGACGACGGATTCAGCAAAGCTGCACACGCATCGTTCTTATGCTTCAAAGCAACCAAATACGGAATTCTCCTGCATTTATTTGCAATAAAGAAGTTGGAAAACTTGTGAGGTGCAAAATTAGCAGTGATTTACCAACAAATGATCTTGATACATTATGAACCCGAGGTGGTCAAAAAACGACTCATAATCACCCAACAGGGTTACATGCTTCCTAACTAATGGGAGAGTTTGTGAATTAGGTCTCTAGGACCGAATAGGGACTTCCCATTTGAGGTTGGATTTAAGGCATTTCAACACCAATCAAGAAACGATGCTTCACTACACTAGCACCAAGGATTTTCTTGAAAACCATAAGCTCGCTGACTTGTTGTCTTGTTGAAGTTATTGAAACAGTCCCATTCGTTTAGGCATAAACTATCGTTTTGAAACATCACTTCAAGTAGCATTTCAATAAGCTTTGGGAACTCGATGCCACTTTTCCAATCATGCCCCTTATAACTTTACAATTAATTTTTTCAGCGTTTCTTTTAGGTCATTTTACATCATCTAGCTGGCTTATCATATCAGCCCACAGCTAGCTTATCAGCTAGTTTGCCAAACATAGTGCAAAGGTCGCCGGAACATAATGACAAATATAATTATGTATTTTGAGATTTTGATTTGGAAGCTAAACATACCCAGATGCATCTCTCTGAAGTCGATCTGCACCCCATGCTAATAATTCTCTGATGCAATCCATCGAACCCCCTCTTGCAGCCAAATGAAGCGGTGTACTACCAAGTAATCTGTAACAAACCATGCCCAACATAAAAGACAAGTAAATAAACACAGACACCTATACATACATATATATATATATATATATATGTGCGTGTGCGTGTGCGTGTGCGTGTGCGTGTGCGTGTGCGTGTGCGTGTGCGTGTGCGTGTGCGTGTGCGTGTGCGTGTGCGTGTGCGTGTGATATCTTTCTAGCTTTAGAGTTGTTTACTCATATCTAGTTTTTCATCTTATTAACATATCTGTTTTTCTCCCCTTCACACACTTTTCTAAAACGACTTCTACTCTTTAGGGTAGAGGTCAGGTTTGCGTAAATCTTACCCCCCAAACCCCACCTCCAGGTGGGATATAATGGCTCGTTTGGTTTGGTTTGGTTTATTATATACATGCATACATATATATAAGAGAAGTTTTTGCCATGAATTAGTACCCGTAGCCACCGGTGGAGGCGCAAACAAGAGCCCCACTGTCTAGAAGTAAATGTACGCATTGTGGACGTCTTTGGCGGGCAGCCAAATGCAAAGGTGTTGCCCCTTTGCCATCTCTGATATTCACAAATCTAGAAAATCCCCTACAACCCACAATTCAATCAACAGATGTTAGTCTTGATTCATACAAATTTTCAGTTTCAGATAACAGAAGTATCATATCTTCTTGCAGTTAAAGATTCTATTCACAGTTCATCAAATTGAATCTCATAAAGATAAGAGAAACCCACCAAGATGCAGCAACATGGGAGGTTCGGGCAGCGGAAAGAATCATTTCGAGACAATCAGAATGGCCGTAACAAGCAGCATAGTGCAAGCATGTTCTTCCATTTAGTGAATCAAACATCAAAATCTGACAAATTTCAGATAATTTCATCAACAATTCTACATGAAACTAAGAACTTCTGAAAGAGTAAAAAAAGGGGGGAATTTGACATACATTAGCCCTAGCCTCAATGAGTTTTTCAACACAATTGATCTTCCCATGCATTGCAGCCAACATCAATGGAGTCTAACAGAAACACCCAAATTTTCAAATTAAACAGAATTAGTCAAACCATTATAGGGGGAAAAGGGTAGTTTTCAAAAGGCAACAATTCCCACAAGACCACGAACAGACTTCACATTTTATTCAACTGAAATAGGAAATCAATCGATAAAAGAGCAAAAAACACACAATCAGACCTGTTTATGACGATTCAAACAATCGGGATTTACTGATCGATCTTCCAAAAGCATAGAAACAATCTGACAAAGAACCCACATATCATACGTCACGAAATCCATCAAATATTACAAAAATTGAACGACTTTACCAAACTTGGAATCAAAAATCAGGAATTACCCACCTCGATCTGGCCATTGGCAGCAGCTATGTGAAGAGCAGAATGACGATCATAGACCGTAGTTTGTTGAATGAGAGACGGATCTCTCTCCAGAAGAGTCTTGACAAGCTCCAAATCCCCAAACTGTACGGCTGTGAACAACCCATGCTCATCTTGCACTCTGCAACTAAGCCCCTGCCCCATCTGTTTAAACTTTCTAAAGTTTTGATGTTTGATTCTAGGAAGTAGAGCGGCTGAGCTCCACCGGAATCATCCACAACCACCCAAAGGAGGGATAGGTGGTGGTGGTGATGGTGATGGTGAAGATGGAGGTGGTGAAGCAAGAAAGTGGTCAAGGTTTCACATTTAAGCAGTAGAAGATGGAAATGGGAGGCTTCGGGCAGCCCCAATGAGGTTCGGGAACGGGCAGATGGGAAAAGGAAAAACGGGGACCTAATCTGACACCGGGCACTAGTCAGATATTTTACGGGCAGTTTTGCGGATTCTCAAGCTTCGAGAAAAAAAATAAATAATAATAATAATAATAATAATAATTGGGTTATTTGTTTGTTTCCTTGCTTCCAATAAGATAAAAATAAAAATTAAAGTACATAAATGGTCCCTGTATTTTACTCAAACTTCAACAATTATCGTTACAGTTTCGGGATTATATCAGTTTCTTCTACTTATGTCTTTCTAATAAAACCCTAAAAACGTCCAATAAAACCCTAAAAACGTCGAAAAGGAACAAGGATTTCTAGATGTCTAGACAAGTCTTGGGTGCTTCAGCATTTGTTGCCTAAACATTAACATGATGAGAGACCCAACAAGTTTGGAAATAGCAAATGATGGTAAAATTGATAGTTCAAGGGATATTTTTGGCAACTAATGACATCGGAAACTATCAAATGGCATTTGGTCTAGCGGTATGTGAGTCTATGACCTCTTAAAAGGTCAAAGATTCAAACATTACCAAATATGAGGAGGGTATGTGAGTTTATTTGTTTTATTTGTCATACATAAGTATTATATACTTCAAAAAGAAAATGATATCGTAAACCATAGCTTAATGATGGCTTGGGGAAGAAGAAGAGGGGGAGAGGTGTGGGTTTTGATTAGCTTTTTTTTTTAAATGTTTTAAGAACTTATACAACATAAATAAATTTTGAAAATAAAGTATAATGACCAAAATGTACTTAGATGACCAACATGTGATGCCACTTAACTATGCTCTTAATAAACTCTAGGGGCAGAGACGAATGGTGTAAACAACTTGAAACCATGGACCAAAGAGGCATTTGCTCAGCGGTACTCAAGGTTCTAAATTGCATGAGGCGTGGTGTGGTGGGGAGGTCAAGTCTCAAGCCTTACGAGTTACGGCGAGGTCATGGCGTTTTTCAAGGCATGCCTTAAGGTGGAAAATCCATAATATATATATATATATATATATATATATATATATATATATGAACCATTGTGTCAAATACTAACAAAAATTTGACATATATATGAACTTGGACTGCATAACATTTATGAACACAATATGAACATAATAAGAATAACTGCTATACGAAAGAAAATAAATAAAAAAACAGGTATAAACACGATATGAACAACTTGTGAACAATAGTTCCTTCATTATAAACACATTCAGGAGCGATCCTTTGTCAATTGGAGTTTTATACATGCATTGCATCCGCACCGTTTAAGATTCACCCCTTGTTCATATATGTTTCTGATCTTATATGGTTGTTCACCCCTTGTTCATATCGTGTTCACCTCTTGTTCATATCATATAAAATATATGAACACATAACCCCAACGCTATGAACACCGGGTGYRAACACTTAMWCAAATATAAAGATTTGGTATCAAGCTTAAAAAATAACATTTGTGTTCATATGATAGAAGTAACATGAACACAATGGTTCATGATTCATAAAAGTCGGTAATATGGCAATATGAAAATGGGTCGTGCATGTACTTCCATTTGAACATGTGAATTAGGTACGTATTTTAATAATTAAAGAAAAAAACTATCAATACAAGATGAGTTATAAAAAACACAACACATCGTAATGAACATAATTTCGATTAAAACGAATCTAAAAAAAATAAAAATCTATTACCAAGACATTCGCTTTTGTTAATTTCTTCAATTCCCGACCTCGAACTCCGATTGTCATCATAAACCATTTTAATCTTATAATTGTTGTCGATTTATTTTCCATTGCGTTTATCCATATTAGCTTGATCGATACCGAAAAATTTTACTGTCGTATTTTTCTATGCGAATTAAAAACTGATAAAACAATAAACATGGAAGATCAAGATTAAAAAAAAAATATTAATATTATAAATACATATTTTTTGGGATTTGATTATTTATAACTCCCTATTAATTGTTTGGGAGTTACATATCAAATAAATTTACTGAAATACTTTTATAATTAAAATGTGAACATGACATAAACCTACAAGAAGAATGGAATTTGATTGGTTGTCATGGTTTTCAAAGTTAACACAAAATTATTGGTTAACATTTGATCTTCCTCTTATATATATATATATATAGATATATATATATATATATAGATATATATATATAGATATATATATATGTGTGTGTGTGTGTGTATGTATGCATGTATGTATGTATATGTGTGTGTGTGTTTGTCAATGTCTTGAACAATCTTGATTAAGTTATTAACAATTTAGATTCTTATAAAATGATAACCACAAGAAGAACCATGAATTGATAATTTGATATCAAATATACAGAGTTTACAAAAATAATATCAAATATACAAAGTAAGTCACTGTTTACAGTTCTTGTTGGTAATCAAATTGTAAAATCAAAGTAATGAAATAAAAAAACAACACATGAAAGTAATTAAACAATATTTTTCATATGTTGAGAAGTAATTTAGGGTTTGTTCTTTTTCCCATTTTGTCGATTAAGTATTGGACTCGTATAAACTATAAAGTTATATTTACATTTACTCTTATTCAAGTTTTAAAGATTGCAAATTTCTCTCCCGCTTTATAACACGATATCACTTGTAACGCCGTAACGAGCTCCACACCTTATATCAACACCAAGGGGTTAATGTGACGCGCCATGGAGGCACCATGTCGTATTTCTTAGAACATTGATGGTATCTGGGTTACCAGCAAAGCCGACCTCCTAGGAGGCCACAATCAAGTCTCACTAAACATGATGAGTGTGGATAAGTATTTGTCGCATATAAATATTATATATTTAAAAACCATTTTTTGATAGGGACACGGATGTAATTTTGAAATTATAGTGGTGATTGGTGGTATTGGAGTAAACCACAAAGACAATATATGTAATTTACTCAAAAATAAATCACATTTTATAATATAAAAAACTAAAGTGTTAAAGAAAATACAATTTTAGATGATTAAAAAGCATTTTAATATAACAAATTCAAAAGAATTTGTAAACTAAAATCAATTCAATACATCTCCCAATATTTGTTGATAAATAAATAATATTTTTGTAAAACCATCAAAAGTTTTCAAAATATATCATTTAATTATATATAAAAAAGGGACATTTATTTTCATTTTAGTGTCGTTATACCAAAGGTTAGAAAAGACAAAAAAATCTTCAACCTAAAAGCAAGGGAAGGCGTAAAGGGGTGGCGATGACTGCAATAGTGAAGGAGGAAGAGAGGGTTGTTGGTCACAGCCAGCAGGAAGGTGCAGACGAGGGAAACCAATGTGGTTGTCGGTTGTAGAATGGGGTTTTATTAAATGATTCATGTCATTATCGCTCATAATACAAGTCTTGTTGTAATTTAAATTCAAAATTTTTAGGTCTTTTAACTTTGTCCAAGGCTCATGTATTCTGTATTATTTTAGTTTCTTTTAAATTCACTTTAATATCAAACTGAATAGAATAACAGTTATTTACGTTAAATTTAGTGTAAGGTGGTGTTTATTTTTTAAGAGGTACTGAAGTCTGAAGTCTGATTTCACTTCTGATTTATAAGAGGTAGTGCTGAAGTCTGAAATCTGAATCAGTCAGAATGTTTGTTTTTACGTCTGAAATATGAATCAATATTAACACGAACAAAGTCTCGTAACGATTAGAACCAATATTCATTTTGCATTAATTGTGTCGCCATCATCCCCTTGTTCGTTGGTTGGATCATACTCAGAAAATAACTCATATATAGGAGAGATCGATATGCAGAGATTGATTTAGATAGATCGGTAGCTTGAGACCGAGCGAGAGATTGATATGGTGTTCATATCGTATGATGTGGATAGACCGGTATGATTTGGTAGCTGGAGATCAAGTGAGAGAGTGAAAGATCGATATGGTGTCCTCATGTGTGAATAAGAGCTCATTAAGGGTTTAGACTATCACTTAAAAATTCAGAGGATTATAAGAGCTGAAAAGCAATCTGAAAATAAAAAACGTCTGACCAATTCAGACTTAAGAGGTATTAAGAGTTTTTTTTTTCAAAAAACAAACAAACCCTAAATGATATTAAATTGATGCCCATCATTTTTCACATTTTTATATTTGACAGTTTATTTAATAACTTTTGCAAACTTTACTTGTCTTCTTATATATCATCAATCTTATTAGGAATCAAGTACTAGAAGTAGATGCATCATTTAAAATACAAAGGCATTACTATCTTACAAAATCGAGCCGACCAAAATTCTAGTTCATTAACTTTTTAATGTACAAACAAACGTTAATGTAGAAACATAACCGTAACTAATAAAGTTATGTTTAACGTAGATATTTTTAAGAGTCAAAACATAGCACACGCAATAAAAATTAAATGTCTTTTTAACCTTTTCATAAGCAATAAAAGGGTTCATGCTACCCTTCAGAGCATCCCACTCGACCAGACCAATTGTACCAGTCTCACGACCATCATGTGGGAGATGAACGTTGTAGCCTAGGGCAAGGTGGGCATGACTCAACTTGAACTCGAGATCTTGTTGTGGAAACTACACTTCCTTTATATTGAGATAGTTCCGCGAGGGCTTTTGGCAGTGAAGTTCCAGAACATTAGTTCTCAAACTGAATGAGTGGAGCATTCTCAGGTGTACGTAGGAGTTGTAAAAGGTCTTGCCATCGTTCATTTTCTGGTTTAATTTTTTTTTCTTCTGTTTTCTCAATATTAACAAAGGACGTATGTATTATAAAATCTTTAAGATTCCTTTATATCATGTATATTTTGGCATTTTTATATAAAGAAAGACATATCAGATTATGACATAAAGTGAAAATTTGAA